TCGTTAAATGGTAAAACTTGCTTACTTGTATACCCAACATCTCTTATGTGTTCTCCCGATGTGGACTTCTAATCTTAAAATGAGGCGCCATAGTTTGTTTTTTAAAAAAAAATCTCTTAATGGATTTGAAAAGATCTGAAGGATTAGATCTGCATGAGAGTTTTATTACCATTAGACTATTTAATTCGCTTTAAACAATTTGTCACATTTTTCCTCTTTGTATGGCTTTGTTCTCGCTACAAACTTTGTTCTTTTCTTTTCTTTATCCAACACCATTTTTTCTCTTTGAACTAGTAAGTTTTCATAATCATTACAATTAATTTTTTATATTAGTAATAACTTTGTTGTGGTGTATTGATGTTTGTCAAGAACTTCATCTTTATCTTTCGAATTCTGTGTACCAAACTTTCTGAAAGTTCTACTGCAACAACATGAGTTTATAGCTGGAGTCCAAATTATACCTATCACTGATTTAGTGCCTATTTCGTGTCTATTATTATAGATATATATATACTTGATAAAGTTGAAGGTCTCACAATGATGGAGCTCATAATAATTATTCATCCAAATCTTCAATTTCGACTGAAAAAAAGTTTTGGGATGAAAAGAAAAATTTATTCGTGTTACTTGAAAATTGATGAGAAGATGATTGTTGTTTTAGAGTTATTGATTAAAAAGATAGTACACCTAACATTAAAGAATAAAAGGAAAAATTAGATGGTCTTGGATGTAAAGAACCATTATACAATACAATTGTTAGTATATTTTGTCAAAGTGACAGTTACAAAAAATATATATGGATAAATCTAGAGGTTCACAAGTTTAAAAAATGAATTAAGGTAATCGGGAATAAAAATATAAATTCTTTAATTTTTCTAATTAATTAGAACATACGTAAGATGTTGATAATTTGAAATTTTCTTTCTTTATTGATTAGTTGGACAAAAAAAATTATGAAAAGATGTTTATGTTGAATTCTTAAAAAAAATCATGTTATAATAATTTTTATACTGATATATAATTTTTATTTGTGTATCATATGATTTTATTTTTTGAAATCAAATATAAATATTTAAAATATTATTCAAAAAGTAATTTTTTTATTTGAAATAAAACTTTTATAATACTTTATTGATATAATATTTAATTTCATATGCATATTCAGATATCGTATACAAACAATTATCACTATATTCATATCTAGATACCACAAAATATTCATGTGTATCTATTTGTGGTATCTAGATCTCTAGATATCTAGATCTTAATGCACATCTTAATATTCAGATATTTATTTAGATTCAGACAACTTAATCTTCATGAAAACAAATGAAACCTTATTAAAAAAAACAATCAAGGTCATACTTTAAACCATATTTTTCACTAGTATTCTTTGTGAAATCATAAATATAACTTTATAAGTGGTGCAAATTATCTTTTAAAAAATATCAAACTTCATTATAGAAAAGGATAAATATAAAAAAACTTTGAAATATCCATATCAAATTTTAAACAATTCAACTATTTTGGACAATGAAAAAAGGCCCAAAACTTCAATTAATATGGAATAAAGAGAGTCCCCCACACAAATAAATGTATAATTTTATTTCGAGCATAAATTAACATCATTTAATCAATACTATTTAAAATTTATCAATATAAATAATAGTCACAAAATATTCATTTTACACCTAATGAAAGTATTACAATTACATAAAATATATAACTTATTTTAGAGAAAAATTAAAATTATTTAACTAACATAATTTAAAAATAAATAAATATTGAACCCATGTACAACACAAATTTTTCCTCACTAGTTTTAATTTATACTTACCCAACATCAAATATAATGTGTTAGTCATTTATTTAAACATTTTCTAAAAAAATATTAGGCTTATATCATTAAGGTGATTTGTTGAACGATTTGAGCGGATAATAATGCTTAATAATTTGATTTATCATATATCACTTTTAGATATATTAGTATCTTATCTAATTAATAAGATATCGATTAATTCATTATCAAATAATGTAGTTTAATCATTTCATGCTCTCTTCTTTTAATTTTACTCACTAATATATTGATCTTCCATAAAACAAAATATTATTTCCAACTGTACTTAAACTGATAATATTATACTTATAAACCACATACATTAAGAAAAACATAAAAGCCTAAATTTTGAGAGTGCATGCACATAAGCATTTGTTTAACAAATATTACATGTACAACTACTTATTAATTTGACGCCATGGATATGTTTGGAAAGCTACCATGTAATTAAATTTGCTGTAATTACTAGAATCATAATTATTATCTTATACACAACCAAGTAAATTATATTGACCTGTTTGTTTGTCATAGTGTAATTACAAGTGTACTGTTTGATTGTATAAGGGTAATCATTAGGTTATTTTGAATTTTTAAAATTACAATTAATTATTTAAAATTAAGATTTCGTATTAGACAAATAAGGGCTTTTATAAATAATATTAAATTAAATATTTAAGATATATATTATCTCTTGATAATATATCAATTAATAAACATATGTTCTTAACTAATACTGCAAAAATATTTGATTTATATTTTTCAATTTAGTATAATTTAATTAAATTAATAGTAATAATTAAAAGTACATTATTTGCTATAAACATCATAAATTCATGTTTGACAAAAAAATTAATATTATAAATATAATAATATAAAATTATATAGTATTTGACAAAAAAAAAATTTATCAATTCTTTTAAAAAAGTAGCTTGTGATGTAAAATATGGAGTCAATAACGAGAAAACACATGAAGTAAAAGTTGAGGATAAGAAGAAAATGAAATATAAAACATATAAAATATATTTTTAGAAAAATATTAGAATGCGAAGAATAGAATAATAATTCAAAATAATTAAAAAAAACATCAAAACGAAATAAGTTAAAACAAAAATAAAAAGATGAAATCTAAAAGTAATCAACAATTCATAGTCTCCCTTGCGAATTGGAGTTTGTAATTACATCCTGTCAATTACACTCAATTACCTGCTGATCAGGTTTTTACATGTCCAATCAAATAGGTCAAATAATGTAATTACACCAATTATTTCAAATTCAATTACTAGAGTGAGTTTTCTAAACGTGCCCTGATTAATTTTTAGGATCGATAGTATATATTTTATTTATGATTAAAAAAAAAGTGTAAATTGTATATAATGGCAAACTAATAAATTAAATTAAATACTATAACCACACTTTAATTTAATTGTACCCTGTAGCAAACTGTTTGTCAGTCACCTCTCTCTCTCTCAAACTCTCGATCGCCCCCTCTCACTTTTATACAAACACAAGTGTATAAAATGTGTTTCTATTTGTATAAATCGAGAAAAAAATTATATATATACATATATTTTTGTTCCGTCTCTCAGATCTCGCTCGCCACTCTCGTAGATCTCACTCGCCACTCTCGTCTCTATCGCTTATACAAACAAAAACGATATGTATAAATTATATTTTGTTTGTATAAAGTGAAAGAAAATTGTCTATACACTTGCAAATACATATATCTTCGTCCTATACACTTAAAATTATACAATACAAATATTCCCCTGCCCAATTTTCTTTTATCTTTCTCTCTTTCTCGTTTTATACATATATAAATTATACAATTGATTTGTATACAACTGCTTTCTTTTGTATATGTATAACGAATTATACAATTGGTTTCTTTGTATGTGTATAGCGAATTATACATATTTATATTTGCTATGGAGCGTAATTATATAAACTTTGTTATAGGATATTAATATGAATTTTGTGTTTGTTATATATAAAAGTTGCTCTAAAAAAAGTAATTATAAGTAAATTAATTTTATAATATTTTATCAATTATAATTTTATTTAAACGACCCTACCTATTATGACTAATTAGGAAAATAACTAAAAAACAAATGTAAAGTACAATTGAAATAGATTCTCCCCTCTTCATAGTGTTCTCTCCTTCATTCTTACTTCACCAATGTTATTAATAAATCTTTAGAATTAAATAAAATTAGATTAATTGTATTTAAAATTTGAATTTATATATTTAAAGATTATATAAAAATATTACTATTTGCAAAAAAAAATTATTAAATCAAAATTATAAAATTTGACTTTCATGAATCAAAATACGAATTTAATTAATATTTGAAATTCAACTAAATTAAATCAAATAAATAAACATAACTATTTAGAGAAAATGACCAAAATGATTCTTAATATATGAATAGTACTTTATTTGAATCGTTAATATATTTCACTTGATCCTTAATATATAACAAATATACTTATTTTGGTCCTTAATGTATAACAAAAAGACTTCATTTTGGATAATATCCTAAATCTAATAAATTTTTATCTTAAAAAATATTAAATTTAAATATAAACCCTACCTGACCAATAAATTCACTATTATTATCTACTTTGTTATCTCCAAAGAAAAAACTCCACAAGATTTAGCAAAATTTTCTCTATTTATTCAAACAAAAAATTATATTTTTTCTTTCCTAAAATATTACTCCACTGATCTAATACAAATGCCTATTTTAAGCAAAGAGAAAATAGTAATTAATTTTGTTAGAGAAAATAGAGATAGTAGTATTAGATTTCTTTTTTTTTTTTAGCTAACAAAGAAGACAATAATAATGAATGTTGTTAGTCAGGTGGGGTTATAATTAAACTTAATAATATTATTTCTATAAATTTGTTAATATTATAGTCAATGATCAAAATAAACTATACAATAATGATCATTCAATCTAGTAAAATATATCGAAGCCCAAAATAAACATTTTTATTATAGGTTAAACAAAATATTACTCATAAAGACAATTTTGGTCATTTTTTCTAAATATTTACAGCTCAGTTCATACTATCTCACAACAAACCAAAAATCGACAATTCCGAGAAAAAAATGAAAGATAAAAAAGAGACTATAAAGAAATCGAAAGAGAAAAGTATTAGAGAGAGAAAGTGTAGAGAGAGAATGAAAGAAGGGAAAAGGAAAAGCTCAAGGCTTCAGTCGGAAGCCGCCGGAGCGGGGAGTAGCCGCAAGTTGGATTTGGACGGAGTAGCTGCTGAGCGTCAAGAGAGGAATGGATATCCTGAAGATGCCGGCAGCAAATGCGAGGAGGAACCGTTGGCCGGAGAAGGAGAAGGAGAAGGAGAAGAGAAGGATGAAGCGCCTGAGGTGGTTCGTGTAGAAAAAGGAGATGGCGATGGTGTTGCTAAGAAAGTAAAACCAAAACTTGCTGAAGGTTTTTACGAGATTGAAACTGTTAGGAGAAGGAGAACTGTAAAGGTTAGTTTTTTGTTTTTTTTTTTTTAAAAAAAAATCTGTTTAATGGTTGAATTAACATTTTTACTAGCTGATGATGGTTTTGTTTTAATTAATTTTACTGAATTTTTGGGCATTAATTTCGCTGATTTTGCTTCTGGATTTGGGGATCTTGGAAATGCTGTGGAAACTAAAGGGTAAAGTCTACTATTTGATCAAATGGTAAGTACACAAAAATTTAGCTTTTGTTGTAATCCCTCCATTTCATATTCCACCCTGAGAATGCTTTAATTAACAGTTGTACTTACTAAATTAACTTTATTATTGATGTTTTGAAACTCTAAATTTGAATGATGTTTTTGTAACTCTAAATTTGATTTTGAGGTAAAGCTTTTGTAAAAGCTGCAGGGTAAAGAATAAAATAGGGTTATTAAATTATACAAAATGAGAAGAAATTATTTATCACACAATCCTACCAAATCAGCTGTTATACAACATGGGACTTTTTGTCATTACCTAACAATGAGAATTTAAATGATCCGATGCGATAGAATTTAAGTAATAGTCAAAACAAATATGGTATTTGAACTCACGGGTAAAAACCATCCAAATAAGGTGTAAGAAATTACTCAATCCTGGTAAATAAGGAGTGTTTCTACTAACTTACCCTAATGCCTTGAAGAAGGAATGTATTAGAACTTGAAGAAAGAAGTGATTCTTTCATGGTGTAAAACTCATGTATTAAAACAAGGGTAATTTTGCAAGAATAAGATCGATACCTTCTTAAACCCTAAAAGACCACTTATTTTGAAACAAAATTAAAAGCTAAAACATCACTTATATAGCAACAAAGGGAGTAATACTAAGGAATGAGTAATGCCTGAGTTGCAACATGAAGGTGTGAGCCAAATTGAGCAAGGTCGGTCACTGAAAATACTCTTTGGTTGAGTACATCAACTAAAAGCTTTCAAGTAAGGGAGCCAGAGAAAGAGAGAGCAGGTCTGAGGGATCAGAATGAATCTGCTGCAGCATAATAGTTCTATACCCCTTCCGTTCTTAAATACTTGTCATGTTTTATTCTGCACATTTCTTAAGAAAAACATTAAATAGAGGGTAATTATCCTTATTTATTACTTCTCTATTTTGAACCATTTTAATATCTCTCCATATATATTTCTAACGGCAAAGGTGCAAACAAACAATTATTTTGTCTTCATTTTCTAAAGTGACAAGTATTATGGACTATCTATTTTTAACAAGTATGCCAAGGAACGGAGTGAGTAATAGACAAGCATTTAAGAATGGAGAAAGTAATGAATTTCTCTTGATTTCATAAATTGGACAAGTAAATTGAAACAACCATTTTAGTATGTGGGCATGTAATATAAGATGAAGATAGTAGTTTTTGGTTCAAGTTACCACCTTTAGTAGCTTGTAGGTGATAGTTTCTACAGGCACAGTCCAGTGGCTAAGAGCCTGAAATTCGAACTGTAGTGAATGAGTTCGTATCTCTTCATGTTCATAACTGTCCAGTCCATTTTTTCTGCTTCTAGTTGACCATATGAAAAAAGAAGAATAAGTTGAAGGTGATAGACGTTATGTGTTTCTTTGTTCAGGCGTGGCTGGCCGGAGTCCGCAAATACATGGGAACCTGAGACGAATCTGTCGTCCTGTACTGATATTATTGATGCATATGAAGAGAGGTTTCTTCTATTTATAATCCTTTTTTTTAAAGTTCCTTATACTGATTAGTGTATAGGGGATAGTTCTCTTGTTAATCTCTGGTACCTTTCTGAATCTGTTTCCTTTCCCTTTGTAGCTTGAAGTCAGGGAAACTACGAAGGCGTAAGCGGAAGTTTGGGGCTACACAGACTCACCCCAAGATAAAGCAGCAGCGGCGTTTCTCTGCACCTGTTGCTACATATAATGTGCCAGCTGTGAGGGTTAGGATAATTGAGGAGCCTACACCTTCACCCCCTTTGAATGTTTTGAAGGCTACAGATCTTGTGGACAGTAATGGTAGTGAATTGAACAGCAAAGTAGATGAAGTGGTGAATGGAAATGGTTTGAGATTGAGAGAGCAAAATGAGTTGAATTTGAAGCTGAGTGAATTAAAAGGAGCAACGTCAACTAATGGGAACCCTGTGGATATATCTGGTAATGGTCTCACAAATGGATTTCCTAAGGTTAATGGTGCAGAATTTTATCAGTCTGATCGATGTACTGGAGCTAAAAAGAGGAAATCTGGTTGTGTTCGGAGATTTAAACGGGAGACTACCTCAGCTGTGAAGGATGATACCCAAGATGCTTTAGCAGGTGGTCCTTTGGCTACTTTTATGCAGGATGGAAGTCATAATCATGTTATGGTTGCTGATGATTCCAAAGATGGGTATACCATTACACAACTTGTCAACCCTGTAAGCTATAAAGCTTCTTTCTCCAATGATATGCTGGATGTCTCAGTGACCTTTGTTGCCAAGAGGTTTGTGAATTAAAACCTACATTTTCTATTTCTATGTTTGCTAGCTAATTTTGTCAATATTGTTTGTTGTGGTGGTGTGATAATCAGAATGTGCAATCTCTAAACTTTTTATTCATTTCTGTACAAGTCAAAATAGTTTCATTGATGATCAAATCAATACACTATCACTATAAATGTGTGATCACATCAAACTTCAAAAGAAATTTCATCCTTATATCACAAAAATCTCATCTAAGAGGAGTACCCACCAGCAAATTTTAGATGATAATATGATTTCAACCAAGCTTTCATTGATGATCTGGTTTGTAACACTTAATCTTCTTTTACAAACTGGTTATATTTGTAAACCCTTTGCAAAATAGTATCAACATCATCACATTTCTGGTCTTGAATTAGTCTCCTGAAAGCTATTTCCAGGTTATTTTGCTTCCGTTTCTTCATGTGCATCAACAATGCATTCTCCTAAGTTGTGATCATAAATAAAGAAGACAATTTGTATTTCAAAGCTCCGCACCAAACTACCAAGTGGATTTAAATAGGATAATTTGTTTCTTAATGTCTTCTTTGTCTTGCCCTGCTCATATAATGTAAGAGTTCTCACCCTCTACAGACTCTATAACTCATCAATTACAATGCCTGAGGTGACGACCACAAGTATATGCCAAATCTTACTCCCCCATCTGCCAGCCTTGTTCCAGCCTAAAATCAATGCCTCTCCTCCACTCAAAACAAGCAGAAACAGTGTCATCGTGTAAAACCTCTCTAAAATTTAAAATAATTGAAATGATTAGTGTACTCAAGTTGATGTGTTTTAGGAGAAATATCCTTTTTTTTCCTCTATACTGGTGATGCTTGATGCCTTGATCTAGCCAGTTTGTCTGGGAGTGAACTAGAAGGTTCATGATCATGATTAACAACTATGAATTTTTCTCTTGATGTGTTCTTTGAGATGCTTATAGTCTTCTAATCCTTTCTTGTCTTTCAATATAAATGTTATTTGGTTTTCCACTTTCTTTCTTTTCTTTTATATGGAACGTTTTTGGTTGAACAAATATCTTCCATCTTCTACGTGAACATTGCAGTTTTTGATTCTTTTTAAAAAAGGAGCTGAAATTTTAGCCTTTTACTTAGCTTATCAAATGGAGATAGAATCATAACTCGAGTCTTTTTTGATCTTCAAGTTGTTGAGATTAGCTGATTACGACTTTCCAACAATTAATATGTTAGCATGATCAGTTGTATTAAGTTTCACAGAAGTTGATTTATTAAACAAAGCCCCACATTGGGTATACAAGGAGTCAAGGATATTCAAATGAGTTAAAAGGTGTCTTGAGTCACTCCACCAATTGGCTTAAAGTTTTTGAATTAGATGTTTAGGTCATTTCACATGATTTTGCTTAGTCCTCTCTTATACTCAGTAATTTGTATTTAAGTTCATATCAAACCCAATAATTGGATTACACATGTGATATGAAGTTGGGAAATCCATATTAGTTGTACATTGAGCACCCAAAATGTACAACCAAGGGTGTGGTCTAGCAATCGATGACGTTGCAATGATGACCAGGGGAGACTAAGGTTCGGATTTGGACAAAAACAAAAATAGCTGTGTGATTTCTTCCCATCTGCCTAAACCTTAGTGGGTAGAGTTACCTTATGCTTGTACCTGTGGGTGGTTCAGGTAACCAGTGAAATAGTTGAGTTGTACGCAATAATTTGCACGGGAAGCACCGTTACAAATAGAAAAGGGGATCCAAAGGTATTTATTAGGATCTCAGGCCAATCCTTAATGTTTAAAGGTTTGGCTTCGACATTTGATTGTTTTCATATAATAAATACCAGATCTAATCTTTTTTTTTAGTAAATTGATATGTACCAAATCTAATATAACATCCCACTCCGTGTTTATACTGCATTCCCTTTTGCTCTATGTTTGTTTAGGTAACCTGTCCACCAAGATCGCTGTAAGAAAGACTTTTTTTATGGTCAGGATAAGCTAAAGGTTCTCAGATTTTCAAATCAATTTTCAGCGTCATTATTCTGTTGGTCTTACATCATACTTTTAGTGGTACTTCTTTAGTTATCTTTGATTATTTTTTCTTGAAGTTGTGTCACTTGTTTTTCTATAACCGATGTAATCTGTGTATAAGTTGCAATGACCAGTGTGATAACTTCCTTCTGTTTTTGTTTTTCTCTTTTGGAGTGAGCTTGAACTTGACAGTTAAGTTCATGGTCACAGCTTGCTCATACTCTCAGTGGCTTGAACAATTTTCTTGCACATCTCTAGATTTATCTATTCCTAAATTTTCAGTTCAAATCAGCTTTGCTGATTCTTTTATTAGTTTTTGTTCACATTACGGACTTTTTCTTTGTGGTTGCCTACAGGGCCGATGGAAATTTAGTGCTGGTGGATAACAAGTTTCTGAAGATGAATAATCCACTTCTGGTAGCTATTTCTCTTTTCTCTCTTATTGGTTTTTGCATCACCGTAGCAATGATTTTACATTTTTCATATGGATTAATAACAGTCATTTCTCAGTTTCCGTAAATATAGAAACTTTTAGCATCTAGTTTTAAAATCACCACACCTTCATTCTGATATAGCAATCAAAATATTTGCTGTGATCTAATTTTGTAATGGTTTAGAAGTGCAACATTGATAGTGCCTGGAAATCTGAACTAGTAGACTTAATCTTTTTCTCATTATATACTGTGAAAAACTTATATTAGGGTTTACTGTTTCCAGTTATAGAACGTATTTCCTTGGGCTTTACTTAAAAGATTCCTCCTAATGGAAATATTGTGTTTGTTTCTTTTGGCAGTTGATAAATTTCTATGAGGAGAATATGCGATACCATCCGACTGAATGAGTTGCCTGCAATGAAGGAAATATATATGTAGCTCGATTAGCTTCATCTCTTGTCTTATCTAGTGTATAAAATGTTGTTATTTACTGTTAGAACAAGCTGCAGGGTGTTAATCTATTATGCTTATTAGGAAGGCTAGTAAACAGAATATATACTGTGAAAAACTTATATTAGGGTTTACTGTTTCCCGATATAATATGCTTCAGAGTTCTATCTCGATGTGTACCCAGTAGATGAGATGCCTGGAAGTAATATTCTTCTGACCTTTTAGATGTTAAAAATCATGTCGGAATTTCATATTGGAGTCCAAATAATCCGGATTAGCACTGCCTAGTGCGGCATTTGGGGGGTGGGGGAAACACTCCCTACCAAGCGTCTTTTTGTAGTTAGGTCTCGAACTTGAGACTTCTGATCAAGGGAGAAGCCTTGATCTTTTTATATTTAGGTCTCGAACTTGAGACTTTTGAACAAGGGAGGAGCAGTTCTATCCGCTGCACCACATTCTTTAAATGGTGTTTTAATCCGTTTGATATTCTATTTCTTGATATTCATGTTGGTAAATCTTTTCTTAGTTGGTTACGGTGGTCATGGAAAATGCCATTTCTTGGCAAGTTTTATATGAAATCTATCGAAAATTAGTTTTTCTTTCTTTTTGGAAAGCTGCTAGAATCTTTGCAACTACTTTTACCTTTTGGGTGAGCATTCTTTGGTGAGTTATTTGTGCGTATAAGGTAAACTTCAAAATGACTAGGCACCCTTCTTTTGAATCTACTTTCATGATATTTTTGGGGGTATTTTTTGAGTCTGACTTTTACAATTCAAAATCTACTAGTTTAACCGCTCTAGATTACCCCGCACAAGACCAACAAAAGGAGAAAATCCTTCATTTTTTGGATTTATTTGTTCTCGTAATTCAAATCCAAGACTATTGATTATAGGTTTAGGAATTTCAATTGTTTCCACCACAACATGCAAAGACAGTGCTAAGGCATCTAGAGACATTATCTTCCAAAAGGAAGCATAAGGTGATGTGACCATGATAGTAGTACTTTATATCCTCCTGTTTGCATGCCAGAAGATTTCATATTATTTTCCAATCAACACATACTACCAAAACAAAGTACTTACTGTGTTGGGCCAAAGTATGGGGGACATAGGGCCATCACCTATGGTTCCTTCAATGATTGTTGTGTTTCTTAGTTTGCTCATTGTTTGGCCAACAATTTCTAGTATAGGTGGAGGTGCCACCATTCTTATACTAGTTTTGTTGTTTCCCATCTCATTGACACTTGTTGTATACTTGTTGTCAATATTCATTCCTCTGCAAAATTTGTCTTCTGCTACATATTGGGAAAACAGTAATACTGGTTCTGTTACATATGATGGAGAAGGCTTGTTTGGGGTTGGAACTATGCTCCTAGTTGTTCTCTTCTTTCTTTTGTACAGTATTTTGGGATGATTGCTGAAAATTGGTTGTCATAGTTGTGCGGAGTTGAGGGTGGCAGTCGTTAGAATTATGCATGTATTAATAATAGAGATTAGTTACGCAGAGATGAATTGGTTATTCTATCATAAAGTTGATCAAATGCGAAAAAAGAAACTCAAGTTTCTTTTGTGGGGATAATCATAGTAAATCTATAACTTAATACGATACTTACGCCTTGTTAGGATGGTTGTTACCTATTTTATTGTATTGTTAGTTTAAATATAATATTTTTTTCTAAAATTATTACTTAAATTCTATTATATCGTATCGTTTAAATTCGTTGTTAGATAACGATGAAAAGACCTATTTTATGTAATGATCGACTCGATGTGATCGCCTTTATCTTTATTTATTATTTATTCCCTCTATCCGTTTTACTTGTCCAATTTTTCCTTTCTTTTGTTACACGTCATTTTTTACAAATCAAGAAAGAACAATTTTTTAAAACCCATTATACCTTAAATTGATTAACATTAAGTTAATGCATTCGAAAAATGTAGTGAATAAAGGTATTTGAGATCCTATCAATTAATAGATGTAAATTGTAAACTTACTATACAATCTATATTTTGTTAATAGGTGTGTCAAATAAAAATTTGACAAGTAAAAAAGGACGGATGAAGTAATAATTATATTTCTTCCTTTGCCTACATTTTCATAATAGCTTTACATGTATCCTTTTTTTTTTTTTTGTATGTTTATCATTTAAATAATGTATTTTTGACATTATTTAAAAACATAGAACAAACTCTATATTCATCAAAACAATATAATACGATAACATAACAATTATCCAAACAAAATGTTAATGTGCTCAATTTATGCAAAATATTATTTTATCCTTTTTAAAACAAGTGTCACTTCAGCTCGAAACGTAAAAGTTAAATAAATTATTATTATACTCACTTCGATAGGTAAAATATTATTTTATTCTTTTCAAAATAAGTGTCACTTTAGCTCTAACGTACTCACTTTCACAGGCAAAATATTATTTCATCCTTTTGCAAAATAAGCCTGTTCATTCCGACGATGACTTCCTACCCAGCTCCTATTAACCCGACCCGAACCCGAATAGGATGGATAGGAACCGGCGTAATGGGCGGCGCCATGGCCGCTCGCCTTCTCTCCGCTGGCTATTCCGTCACAATCTACGCTCGACATCCTTCTAAAGTTGTTCATCTTCAAACACAGGGTGCACTTCTTGCTGATTCCCCATCTGATCTTGCGGGTAATAGTGATGTTATTTTCACTATGTTGGGACACCCATCAGATGTTCGACAAATTGTCTTAGAGAGCTTGATTTCATCTCTTAATCCTAATAGCGTTATCATTGATCATACCAGCAGTCACCCAGTCCTCGCTAAGCAAATCTTTGATGCCGCCCGAGAGAAGAATAGCTGGGCTGTTGATGCCCCTGTGTCTGGAGGAGATATTGGGGCGAGGGAAGGGAAATTGGCAATTTTGGCTGGTGGAAATGAGGATGTGGTGAAGTGGTTAAACCCTTTGTTTGATGTGTTGGGTAAAGCGACATTTGTGGGTGGACCAGGAAAGGGACAGAGCTGTAAAATTGCGAATCAGATTGTTGTTGGGGCGAACTTGATGGGTTTGAGTGAAGGATTGGTGTTTGCGGAGAAGGCGGGGTTGGATAAGAGGAAGTTTGTGGAGGCAGTGAAGGTCGGAGCAGCTGGTTCTATGGTTATGGAGTTGTTTGGAGAAAGAATGATTGGGAGAGACTTTAGGCCTGGTGGGTTTACAGAGTACATGGTAAAGGATTTGGGAATGGGTTTAGATGTCGGAGCAGAGGAGGGTGACGACGTTGTGGTTTTGCCTGGTGCTGCATTGAATAAGCAGCTGTTTTCTGCTATGGTTGCTAATGGAGATGGGAAGCTTGGCACTCAAGGGCTTATTACTGTTATAGAGAGAATCAATGGCAAGTGAGATTACGAAATCTTAATCTTGTGACAATGTTCTTGTTGACTTGGGCATCTTTGCATCTCATCGGTTGCAGAAGCGGACGTCAGCTGTGGATATAGACTAGGCTATAAGGAACGGAGTCGCATCAGCTGTATTGGTGAGTTTTGTTTTGGCTATGCTTAGTATTGTGTGACACTACAATGCTGGATTAGTCGGCCATTATTTCTTGATGAATGATGGTTTTAGGCTGCCATTTATGCTGTACTCAGTTTCAGTGCAGTGCTATTTGAAATATGGTATCATTTCTACATTGATAATCTCACTAACAGTATGGCAAAGTTAAGGTATCTCAATTTTGATTCAGTCCAGACTAACCGGTTTGGCCATGCGATGTGGTATCGTGATAAATTGATGTTTTGTTAGGACATGCCATATGAAATCTGTTATATATATTTTCATAAACATAAGAATTTCATAAGTTGTAAAACTATTAAGAATAGACCCAATTGTTTATTTAATCTTGCCAAATAAACAAAAATTTGTAGATCGCATGATAAATTATTACAAAATTATTTGTTCTCTAGTTAAGTAATTGTTTCATCTAACTTTAATTCAATTAAAAAAATTGAACATAAATTGTAGTGTGATAGTTTTTAATCCTCCCACATAGTACGGACAATTTCCTCACATTGAACTTGCATTTCTCGATCATGTGACCAAGAAGATGAATCAACATTGTTACTTTGATTTGTAGTAAATACAAAATGATAGAAGTAATAAATTAGGTGTTGGAGTAAATGAGAGAGAACAAATTTATTACTCAACAATCGGTTGGGGTGAGTCAAAGTGACTATATGTTGGTGAGAATAATAAATTTTAATAAGTAATAATGCGATTATAAATATTATTCACAAATGGAACAATGGTTAAGTCATCTGCGGCCCCCTAAAGTTGTCCTCATAATTCACAAACACCTCAACTAAGTCTACTACCTATTAGACACTCTAATATTAACGAATATGTACCTATTAAATACAAAATAATAATAAGCTTTTAAAATGTTGTGTGTGTAACTCACGCACACTAATTTTAAACAGTAACCAATAAAATTGCAGTATGTGGCACATGGGCCCCATCTAATAAATATTTGATTATTTTTTAAAAAATGAAAATAAAAACTCCAATCATTAATAATCCTAAAAATTAATTAGCAAAAAGGAGAAAAAAGAAAACCCTCATTCCCACACAAACCCACCCACCCACCATTCTTCTTCTTCCCTTCACCAGCCATCCTGATTCCAACAACAAATTCGATTCCTCCGGCAACAACAAAAAGAAGAAAAAAGAAAATCTCCCCCACTCCCTCCTCCAAGTTCGTCAACCTAATCATTTGCCTTATCTTATTCTTCATCATCATCAATTACTTCTCATTTTCTATTCCTTTGAAAAGATTAATCTTTTTGAAATCAAGTCTAATGCAAATAGTGAAATAAAATTATGAAGTATAATATATTAATGGAGTGATTGTTAAGATTCTTTATGGAAAAACTATCTACGTAGATAAATTATTTTGATAAATTATTTCAAAATCAATAAAGAGAACAAATATTGCTCTTATAGTTTTGATGTCCCATTTGTTTCTTGTTGCAAGTTCTTTTAACAAATTCAATTTATGAAGAGTGAAAAATAAAAATGAAAAAAAAAAAAACTGAGTGCATAAATGGGGTGAAGAAGAAGACAATTTGTACAGCCTACAAGGGTGGAGATTGGTGGGATTGCTTTCTCTTTGGTCAAAAACATTATTTTAAATA